CAGCGTGCAGGTTGATATCCCGTGTAACTAAAGGGACTTAATGACTTTGCATAAGCTTTAAGTCTAGCAGTATAACCTGCATTCCCCGGACTGGCTGCAGGAGTGTTTGATAGCACAGGCACTCCGATAGTGTGACTAGCTGGCTGCTGCAGCCCCCTGAAACACATTTTGTAGCTTCCCTGTGCTGTGGCATCCGAGGCTGACCCCATTTTTCACCTGGGAGCAGGAGTGCACTTCAATCACCAGTGAGCTTTGAAAACATCCAGCTGCTACCAGGCCACCACTCACAGAGCAAAGATTAATTTGGAAACTTTGATCTCTTGGAAAACGGGAGCAGGTAACTCCTGAGCAGAGGACCAAGCTGGTTTCAGCGGTGCCTCTGAAGGGCCTTGCTTTTTTTTTGGATCCCTGTGGGTTTTGTATGAGTAGCTACCATGGGAAACGTTCATCACTAAATAATCAGCAAAATAAAGATTTTAAGTGTGAATTTCTCTGGGTACTCTGGGATTGGTTGATAAGGAACACACCATTTAGTCTGATGTACAAATTATAGTACACTGTGGAGGCAGGAGATGTCTTGTTAGAAGTGAAGAACTCAGAGGTTTTGGTGGAATCCTTTCAGAGAATGGTTTCCCAGGCTAAAAACACAACATGTGTTGCATGTGTGCTCCAGATGAAAATATGGCCTGCTTTCATTATCCTGCAGCCATGGCCTTGGCTGAGAAATACAATGTCATTGCTGGAAAAGCCACTTTCCCTTGAAGTTCAAAGACTGTCACTACCCAAGATGGTTGCAGGCAAAAATCTGGCCGATTGTAAGAGCATCAGAACTGTCGATTCCCTCCTCCTTTGGCAAGCAGCCCAGACAAAGGTTCCTACTGAGAGCTGTCAGCAGGATCAAGGGGTTCACTACGAGAAGGCAGTAGCTGTGTCTGCCCTCGTGGCTCCTTCATGGCTTGTGTCACTTGTGGATGGAAGTTGATCAAATATCCATCTTCATTCTCCAGTTCAACTCCATCCCACCTCCTTCTTGGCTGCAAAGCTGTGACTACACAGATGAACAAATGAAAGCATAATCTTTGTTTTTCTGTCATAGAGGCCAGTTCATGACAAGTTGCAGGAGAATTTGCAGGCCTTAATGCAATTGAGTGAATAAGCCAATTTCTACCAATGCAGTTTCATACTGGAATTCCTGTAGTGCTTCGTTGCAGTGTCTGTGTATGTATAGAGCTAATTTTTGTCTCTCTTGCTACTCTGTCATGCAAGCTTGAGCGATTTCACTGTTTTCTCTGGAAGTCTATTTTGCACACATGTAAACTCACAGCATAACCCTCGGTTGTTACCTTTTTGCTCTCCTTTTCCACCTGCTTTTGTGTTTTAGTGATTCATTTTTAGTGCAATAAGAGGTAGCAATGTACCCAAGACACAATAAACAGTTCAATTGCAGAATGGCCCTGGCAGCCATAAATAACTTCCCTTGAATTTGGGGCCAAATCTTCCTGGGTTTGTTCAGAAAGAATTGCTAGAGATTAACTGGACATTTTTGTCTGAGAAAGAGCCATAGGATTCCATCCTGAGATAAAGAAAGCTCATGGTTCTGTCATTCCTATTTGAATCTATTACATTTCATTGGTCTCCCTTTCTTTAGGAGTTGAAATGGAAACATTGCATGTATCATGTATGTGCAATGTAATTAGTACAAAATCTATTTAACAAAACTTTGACGTTTCTTTTTGAAGAAATGAACTTTTAGTGAAGTGCTAATCTTTACAGTGACAAAATACAACAAAGGCCAGGTGAAATTAGGATATTTTGAATTTCACGATTTTTTTCTAGGAGACCTATAAACGTAGTTGGCTCCATAGTCAGCAGTGCACTGTGCCTATGTAAAATGTCCTTTCTTTTTTTTTTTCTTTTTACTGTTTGGGGGTTTTTGGGGTTTTTTGGTTTTGTTTTTTTTTTTTTTTCGGTAGGGTTTCTTTTTTATGAGCCTGAAGTAGTAAAATTTAAAATTGCTCTCTGCAAATTCTTCCAGCTCTGTCCCTCATCACTGCAGAACTGCTATGAACAGAATCCAGTGATTTTATTCCCTCTGAGAGAGCACACGAAGTATCGGTGTTGAGCTGCAGCAAGGAGACCGTTTGGTGAAACCAGCCCACGGTCCAATTTCTTCTCCCCCCGCCCCCCTTCCTTTTGTTCAAATCCTGCTCCTCCTTGGGCTCAGTGTTGCACCTCGTCGGAAGGACAAGATCCTCCTCTGCTGGCCACGAGCAATACGGCACTGCAGGCAGGAGGCCCTGCCTGCTCTGCCCCTGCCTGCTTCCCTCCTGCAGCCCCCTCCTGAACCCCCACCCTGTGCACCCCTTCTTCTTCTGTATCCATCTCTAACATCCTGCATCCCCATCCTGCATCCCCCATCCTGCATCCCACATCCTGCATCCCCCATCCTGAATCCCACATCCTCTCCTGGAGGGGATGAAGGGGAGAGCTCCAGCACACAGGAGGGAAGGAGTGAGCTCTTCCTCCTCCTCTGCTGCACACCACCATGGCAAGCTTCAGGCCATGAGTCAAAAAGTGAAAATTTGGCCCTCTCCTGGCTAGCAGGGGTGAAATTGCTTCAAAACCAGTGTGGGCTGGTGAGTGGTCCAGGGGACCCCAGGACAGAGGAGAGAACTCTCCGTGCTGAGAAGTCAGCTCTGCCAGAGGTTTTGTCCCCTGTGGCTCTGCTGCTGCAGCTTGTGACAGGCACACGAGGAGGGAGAGCTGCAGCACAAAAGGAGATGCAGGAGGAAGTAAATATTGTATTTGACTCCTGGACTCTATGCTGAGTGCTCCAGAAGCCTTTGTTCCCAGTAATATTTATATTGTGGCAGCAGAGTGCTTTCATCCAAAAGCAGGAATCAAAATCTGAGACTCAGTCACCAGCCACCAGGCCGTTGCCTGCTCTGAAGGGTGATAGCGTAAACCTGCACATTGATGAGGGCACCACTTTATTGTGAGAAAGAGTTTAGGGTACCTGCCTTTCTGTAGTCAGCTCTACCCATGTTTAGACAGAGCAGCAGATGAATACCCTAGGAAAGAAAGTAGTGTAGCACAATGCTGCATCATCTCTCATCTTTCCTATTTCCTCGGGGTATGAGCATTGTGAAAGTGATCTCCACCCTATAGCTGGGGAAACTGAGGCACAGAACAGCCTGGTGCACCTCACTTAGCCTGGGCTGAAACCCTCCAGCATTTCCTGGAATGCCAAGGGCTGCCCCCAGTGCAGGGACAAGCTCACTCAGTCAAACCTTTCAGAGCCAAACCCTTTCCAACCCCATAAGGCAAACATGACAGCAGGGCAGCACAGAGAGCTGGAGAGTGAGATGAAATGTTTCTTGCATCATCCTGCTCCCAGTGCTGCTTCCTTGTTCTTTGTTTCATCTGTTCCTCCAAAAGAGAAGAATACACTTGCAGAGTTTGTTTTGGTCTGTGTTTATGGATGAATGCTATCACTAATTGTAAATGGAGCAATTAGACCTTTGCTTTATGTGGTCTCCATTGGGTTCTGGCAAAGGATCTAACGAATGCTGTACCTGCCCTCAAAAAACATATACACCAAGGACAGAGCTTTTACAGCCTTCTCATTTACCATCATCTCTACACTCATTCAGGAGGGGCAATTGTGTGAGGATGTGTGTCCTTCCAGCTGCAAAGGATTTAGTTCTGTATGTGTGTGGCTCACTCAAATGCACCTGGGAAGGGGCTCTGCTGAGGGGTTCAGGGGACATTGCTCTCATTAAAGTCAGTGGGGAAGGGGAGAATGGGAGTTTCTGTTCTCCCTGGCTCAAACACAAGAGGGATGCAAAGGTGCCTGAAGCAAAAGTTCATTTATATATTCCAGAAAACATTCACAAATGTGAATTCTGAGCTTTTTATTTTGTTCTGTTTCTTATTCATTGCTTCTGATTAATTTGTTCTTAGTCTTAACCAGCATTATCTGAGAATGTCTTTCTTCAATGTATAATGCGCAAGTAAACAGGGCATATATTTACAACTAATTGTATCTGTAGCAATATATAGTTGCACATAATAGTTGCAAGTGTATGCTGTCTTTGCTATGTGTGTTAAATTGTTTGGAAATGCATTTTACTCCCTAAAATTATGTGAGGGATGAAGAATAGCACTTCAAATCTCCTTCACACCCACTGTTAGGATGTGTATCCTCACTGCAGGCAGGTAATCCTGTCCTCAGTTGGGATTTAGAGCAAGAGGAAAAGCAAACGGAAATTGTCACACCGCTGGGGATGCGTCCTGGTGTAAAGTCAGTGCCTTTCCTTTCAGACAAACCTCACTCACACTCTTCAAAGGCTAAGAGCTGTTTTCCTTCTTCTACTGTTCCCTTTTGTTGCTTGCCCTTGATCATGAGCCAAACAGGAAAGGCTGGAGCCCCACGTTGGAGGTGGGACACACGGCATTTCCTCCTGGAGAGTGCCAGAAATATTCTCCTACATCCAAAGATTGTTAACAGCCTTCCAGCTCGGGGGTCCAGGTCCCACTGGGTGCACCAGGTGTAAGGTCCTGGGCCGTGCTGCACTGCCCAGCATCCACTCTGCCATGCCCAGGCACCTCCCAGCCTCCAGCTTTGGCAGCCAGCTGGAGTGTGGCCTCTGTCAGCATCTCAGAGAAGTTGGACAAATAATCAGTGTGCCACCACCTCATAAGCAAAGAGAAAACTTAACCCATTCAGATCATGTTTGCCCCAAATCAGACCAGCCCAGCAGCTTAAGTGGTATTCTTGGAAAAGCCAGACCTCTCTCGTGGGTTATTGACATTTTGTTACCCTTTAGGAAGAGCTCTAAAAATCTAGGTCAGTTAGCTCCAAAGTGTGGGGGGGAACAGCCTTATCTGGATGTCCAACATTAGGGGCAAACAGAACTTTGTACTGTAAGCAAAGCTCTGTGCTGGCTTCTGTTTTAACCAGAAAATGACTCTCTGATCTTTATTATCTCATGCAGGCTATCCATTCTTCCCTCTGGGCCAACACAATGGAAGGTAAGTGGTTTCAGTTTCATCATTTCAACTTCTGCCTGCCACAAAACTGAGAGGCTGGCAACCTGGTTCATCAAGACCCTTTCCTAGTGCCCAGTGCTGAATTATTTTAACTTCATGGAGAGCCTTGCTGTGCTTAAAATATGGTCTGTGATCAAGTAGAAAGTCTGTTTGACTTTGGACAAGTAATATGGTGAGTGCTTTCAGACCTCCACGTGTGCTGCAGGAGACAAGAGTGCAACATGTCCCAGCCAGGAGTGTGTCTGACACACTGCAAACAAAAACAGAGGTACAGCAGCGGTACCAACATACAGCTGATCCCCAGGGTTCTCCAGGACCACACCTGCAATTCTCAATTCTGTCCCAAACCATGACTTTTCTGCCACTCTCTGCCTTCCTGTGCTTTGGGGACCAGTAGGTGACAGTGGCCCATGGTCTGGAGGAGAGGTCATGGTGCTGGGCTGCAAACCTCACAGAAGGATGAACAGAGACCATAGTTGGGGATCAAAACTGGAGGTCAAATAAATGAAGGCTGACTTTCCCCTGCAGCGCAACTAACTGTGGAACTTATCTCTGCAAGGCTTTGCCCCAAGTGCTAGAAGATTCAGAAACAAGCCCATGCAAGTAAAAATCGTTAAAGGCTGTGTAGCATTAAGATGTTGATAAGGGAAAAGCTGTGATGAATATTGTGTGAGGATGTGTAGGATGTGTGAGGATTTGTCTATCCTTTCACAGTCTACATGGTCCATGTAGAAGATTATGTTTTTATTGATAAGTTTAGTATTTTTGCAGGTAAACCCTGCTCTTTCTTCTGTTGATTTCAATGGCTGAGTTTATAATGCATATCTAATTAAATATTGCAATAATTTTGTGGATTTTCCTGCATAAAATACAGTGGATTTTAGCATGCACTCATTATTCTTCTGCATTCCTGTTCATTCCAGTGGCATTTGGGCTTTCAGGTCAAACCAGAAATCTTATCTCTCATACAGCAGTGCCCAAATCAATGTTGATGTTTTGTGTGTAGAAAACAAATTTCCAAATCATTTTTATGTCTGAGCTCAGTATTTGGGCTCTGCAAATATTTGACCACAGTCATGCACTTGATTCAGGGTTACACAGCCTTGTGCAAACTGGTTGATCTGCCTTTTGATGGTAGCTTTAACAATTTCTTAACTCATTCCCTGCCTTATGGTGTATGGTCCTTACATCTGTCCCCCCACTGTTCCCACAATCTTCTTCTCCCCATCCCCCTTAAAGTTTCCACTCCTTCAGCCATCACGATTCCCCTTCACCTGCATCCATCCCTCTGAGGAAAAAAGTGCTGCAAAACTGCTTTTAAGTAACAGCCACAAAACTATTTGAAAGGCTTTCTGGCTTTGTTGTTAGCTGGTCTCCCTTCTTTCTGAAGCTGCAGCTACTCCCAGCCACAGCCCGCTTGGAAGGGAGGAAATACTGTGAGGTCTCATCTCTGCAGAAGTAAATGGGGAATATCTCATTATTTAAAATACAGTCAGGATTTCAGCCTCATAAAAATAACACTGCAATAATCTCAGAGCTGGGGACAAAAAGTATTTAGGGGGGTGGTAGGAAAACTCATCCTGCTTAAATTAGGCCAGATTTCAGTCAGTCTCCAGAGGTTCAGAGAGCTTGAATAAATGCTGGGTACTTTCTGGCACTCTTGATGTGTGTTGGCAATAGGCTTTAACTCTGCACATCACTCATCTTGACAACTGCAGTCCAACAAAGTTACCTCGCAATTCAGGTCACCCGATGGCATCCTAATGCATCACTTTCCCACTTGGAACATTAGTCATCACTTGATCCAGGGAAGGTTTTGAAACCAGTGTGACTGTCGGCGTTGGGGTATCTGTTCTCTCCGTAACAGAGAGCCCGTGTCAGCTAATGAACAAGGGGATATTGATCAGAAATCCATCGCTTGATTGACAGCTCTTGGCAATGTGAAAAACTGCAGATGAAAGCTTGCACAGTTTAAAAGATCACCCAGACCTCAAAGCTGATTTGAAGCTTTAAAAGTCAATCTCTGTCTATCAATTATGGGGGGATTTTTTGTACTACACAGAGGAAAGTTATTCTTTGAAAATTTGCATGCAGGATGTCTAATTTAATTTCATGTAATAGTCACATTTCAGTGACAAATGTCAGATCACTGCTTTTTTAAGCATGTTAAGGTTTTCCAGCACTTACAAAGAACGAACACTCTGATTTAGTAATATGTTTAAATCAACCAGTGTATCAGACTTTGTGCTTTAATTATGTGCTCAGATAAAAAAAAGTGTTGTTTTTGCTTTACTAAACCTATGGCTTGTTATGAATAATTTAAAAATTTGGAATGGGAGCACTTCTTAAATAAGAGATGTGGAAGCCAAATAGTTATTTAGTGTCAAAACAGTGATAAATAAGAAGACATCTCTTAGTTTGATATCATATGCCCCAGTGAGGGTTTTCTGGTCTTTGTTTTTCACTGCTTCATGCAGCTGGAGCAGCTGGGAGATGGGAAATATCACTCATGTGACCTGTAGGAGCTATGTCTGTTTCTCAGTTTCATGAAGAGGGATAGAGGGATAGCAATGGGGAAAGCAGGGACACTGGTCATTTCTCAGATCTGTTGCACTCTTACATCACCTTGGCTGGTCTCCTAGGTAGTAACCTCAGCTTCCTGACTCCGGTATCCCCATGGGGGACAGGGTACCCAAAAGGCTTTGCTTATGTCTTCTGAGCCCTTTCCACATGCACCCTGAACTCCATTCCTTGGCCATTAAATTTCTTGAAATGGTAATTGCCAGCCCTTGAGGGGATTGCCCAAGGTTGCCTGTTTTACCTCGGCCCTGCCTACCTGAAGCCGCCCTCTTCAAGGGCAGCTGGGTGCCAAATTCAGCAGGTGTGCTATAGCCTGTCCCAAAACTGCCCCATCAGTGCACATGGGGGATTGTGCCCCCAAACCTTGTGAATTACATCTTGGCCATCTTGTTTACAGAACAGCTGAATTTAAAAATCATTCATAACCTGTCAAGTAATTACATAAGTATTCTTAATAAATGATTAATCTGTTGCTGAGAAATCATGCCAAACGAAAGTCAAATGACAGTAGTGTCATTTCTTAACAACACACACAGAGCAGTTGGCTTAAAAACCAGGGTAGATGATTCTGCAATGGCTTAGCTCTTTGTCCTCATTCAGGGCACTAATTTTTCCTCTGTTGACTCAGAAGAGTCCTCTGTAAAGCATGGTGGCATGTTTGCACTGTGCCTTTCACAGCCGTTGCTCCCCTGTTCATCCTTCATAACTTTAAGCAGGTATATTTTTCCATAAAAAAGGATACCCCATCCTTCAGACAGCATCTGTGGAATAAAAACCAGAATGCCCCTCTAAGATTCTGAAAATAAACAGGGGATACAAAATCAGACTACTTCAGACAGTTCCCTCAACCTCAAGTCGTTTGCAAAATCTCCTCTCCAACAAAGTGAACTTGGAGGCTGCATTTCAGGCAAAACTTCCTTTTTGTTTTTCTTCCTTAACTACTTCACATTAATTTTAATTTTTTTCAGTGTAGACAATGTCCTTATCTTTCAGCAAGATCCTTCTGTTCCTCAGCAAGGCGTACACTTCTGCAACACTTGCACATAGTCGAGACTTGGCTCCTGTGGAAATAATGAGCTGAGGAAAAGGAGTCTTGACTTGACATAGCAATAAATGAGGTGAAACTTTCCTCTATTTTTTTTTTTTTTGTGAGAAACGAGAGTTGGCATGTAGGAAAAAAAAAAAAAAGAGAAGAAAAAAAGACGGTTCTATTTTAATATGAAATATAAAACACCCATTGTACAAACGTGGAATTTCTTTCTTTTTTTTCAGAAGCAAAGAAAGAATAAAGATAAAGGCTGCAAGTGAATGAATGAGGAGAGAAAACTAAGATAATGCAGTCGATAATCAGTTCAAGGCAGAGCATTATCCATGGGGCCATCGGTCCGGCCCTAGGGGAGAGCTTTTTAAAATGTCTCTGTACGTAGCTTAGCTTTGCTCATTACCATAGCTTGTCTTTGAAACACTGGAGTGGCTTCCACTGGCAAGAGCTGTACCTGTGGCAAGAGCCGCCAGTCCACTTTAATCACACACCCCCTGTGTGGTTGGCAGAGCCGCGCTCCCCGCGGGCTCCATGAGGGCTCCGGCCCCTGTAGGCCGCGGCTGCCGAGGCACGGATGGGCTCCTCAGCCAGCACATGGCTGCAGTGCCAGGCCCTCACTGTCAAAGGCTGCTTTGTGGGTGAGAAGTCACAAACTCATGCAAGTGGATGACTCTGTCCCCCCAATTGCTCTCAGGATGGGACTCTGTGTCCCCCCACACAGCAGGGCCTCCATGCTGGGGAAGGCCCTGCCTCATTCTCTGCAGCAGCGGTGATGGTCAGCAAAGCAGCTGGACAAAGAAAATCCCTTCTTCTTATAGGAGCCTGAATCTCTTTTTGTGCTGGTACCAGCCGCATTGGCAGTCCTGGTTGTGGTACCACACTCCTTACGCCTTTGCCTGGAGACCCTGGCCTGCATTCCCTCTGGGGCATCCTGGCTGTCACCACAGGAGCCAGCTGGGCAGCCAGAGCCCCAGTGCCCCTCAGGAGCATCCTCGAGGACAACACTGGGGCCAGCTGTGCTCAGGTGAGCTCTGCCTATGCCAAGGAAGAGCTGAACAGCATCTTTGGTCCTCAAGATGGTTACTAAACCCACTGACATCCCAAATCAGCTGAAAGGGAAAAGTACTGTCCATCTCAGGAATAACTTCTTTCACAACTTGTCTCCTTCCAATTTTAATTACTGCTCCAGTTTTAATCCTCTGTTCTTTCACTCTCTTCTCACCCCTCCCTGCAGATGAGACTGAGGACTATGAGAACTACGAGAACTACTACTATACAGAAGCAAATCAGGACACCAACCTCCAGCAGGAGCTCTCGGAGGAATTTAGCTGGATGGAGACATCTTTAGGCGACTTCAGTTACAGGAGAGGTACCTGTCAGGGGTGGGCAGGAAGGCAAAGAAGGGGTAAAATCTCAACCCTGTGCTTGAAGCATGAGTGTGGCAGGCCTGGCTGCCAGCCTGCTCTCAAAATGCCTGCATCAAAGGGATGAGTTAGGAGAATTGTTTGCAATGTTCTTCTTTGTATTTCCCTTGTAAGGATCCTGTGTTTTATCTCCAGGTTTCACAGGGTGGATTCTGATCATGCAGAACATTTCTGATTGCTACTACAAAAAAGCACAGGCTTATTTGTCTATAGACACTGTAAGATGTAATTGCTGTTTTCATGGGATATATGTTCTGTATTTATGCTAGGAACCAAATGTAGAGCAGGTTTTTTCTTTTTTTTTTTTTTCTTCTTTTATCAGTTGCAGAGGTTTTATTTCATTTTCATTTTTTGTTTTGCTAAACTTCAGGAGAACAGGAAAGGATGCTAGAGATTGCTCAAGGGACTCAAAAGGGGAGGCAGGGAAGTTGCCTGTAACACTCTCCCAGTTATCCCCTGGTACAAAGCAGCAGAGCTGACTTTGGGCTGTCTCCAGTACCAATTGCTCCTGGCAGCCTGAACTGCAGTGGAGATGTTATGCACAATGTAAGGAGCAGCACATGAGTGACTTTAGCATGTGCCAGCTCCCTTTAGGCAAGAGCCACCCAGAGGTTTGGTAGAGTCTAATGGTAGTGGATGGCTTTTCCAGAGGAGATTTAATGCTATGTTCCGAACAGGACATTGCCAAATCCACATCACTCCAGACTCAGTCCATGAAGGCAGACTCAGTCCAGAGACAATGCCAGAGAGACAAATCTATCTCTGATCAAAGGAAGGGACTTGCCCCATTACAACTCTGTAATAGGGGAGTAGAGGATCTCCAGACCCAAAGCTATGAGCCACTGCAGCTTGGAATAAATTCTGCAGCAACTCATACCACTCCTGTGGGTGCTGAGTTGATGCACAAGCACAGCACTTGTTGCAGAGGATGCTGTGCCCAGGAAGACAGACTCTGACAACGACAAAATGCAAGAAGAAAAAGCAGGTGATGAAGGTTGAGATGCTGAAAGATCTCCATCCTTACCTCTACAGACTCATGCTACTCCAGCCCCTGCAAGAATGGTGGTACGTGTGAAGCCAAGGGAAGTGACTTCAGCTGTCACTGCCCCAAGCCATATGGTGGGACTACATGTGAAAAAGGTAATGGCTCTTTTGCTAACCTAAACTCCTCATTTTGGCAAATAATTCTACTGTTGAAACTTTATAAACCCGCTGTTTGCTGAGCTGAGTGCTCTGACAGCCCAGAGCAGTCATGTCCACAGTTCTTAGGACCTCATCCAGGCCAAAGTTTGTCTAAAGAGCATCCAGTGAAATAAACTTCAGGAGTGCAGAGAGTGCTCCTCTATGCCCTGCAAGGTGGGAAGTGGGGAGCTGCCCACTGGTACCACAGATTTTTTGCCATAGATGCTGTGAACAAGAAGGGAGACCCAGAGTCCACATCTGCCAAATAAAAGCTTCCTTACAGCATCAAGGGAAGGCACCTTCTTGTGATCCCTGTAAGGGCACAGCTCCTGTGCACACACAAATGCTGATGATGTACTTTATGTGTGTTTTCCACAGTGGAGGACATGTGTCTGGAGAAGAACTGCCACTTTGGTGACTGCCTGATTACATTAACCCCACCCTATTTTAAGTGCAGCTGCAAGCCTCCCTACAAGAGACCCTCCTGCCGGCGTGGTGAGCACTCAGCTGGGCACGAATTGTGGTGGGGACAGCACCATGGCCAGTCTGCAGTGGGAAATCACTCACTGCAGAGGGGGATCCTGCCCTAGAAATGCTGCTGCTCCCATCCATCACTGGCCAGTGATGAGTTATGCTTGTTTTGCAGGGTGGTGGTTCAGTCATTGGTAAAACCCCCAGAGATATGTGTTTTACAAGATCTTATGAGAACTCAAAGCCAACAGGCTGAGTGGGAGCTCTTCCCAGCTTCCACTGGGCATGTGAGTGTCTGTGTAGTGTTCAGCACATTGACAAGGCTGTTCTGTGTTTTCCACATTGACAGCATCCAAACAGTGCAGCCCAAACCCTTGCAAAAATGGAGGCAGCTGCATACGGAACAGATACAGATCAAAATTCACCTGCAAGTGCCCTGAACCTTTCAGAGGGAGATTCTGCGAGATCGGTATGTCACAGCCCCTCAGGGGGATGGGTGAACCTCCAGGGAGCAGGGCCTGCTTCCCCCTGCAGCCAGACCATCTGATGCTATTCCTGTAGCATCCTGTGGTGACTTCCTGTCACTGCTCCAAGAGCCTGACTGCACCGGGGCACTGGGGACCTTGGAGAGAGGGTTAGAGGAAGAGGCTGACTTCTGCTGCTACTGCTGGCAGAGGGACTTGAAAGAGTTCCCATCTTGGTGTTTTCTAAGTGTGCTTTGGCAAGGTCCCACTGGTACATAGTGAGGTCCAGAGGTCCTCAGAGGTTACACATCATAAAGAGAAGAAATGTCAGGATTTCCTTAAACATTCAAAATCTGATGTAGTGAAGATGTCTCCCCAGTTGCCTGTGACTCCCCAGGCCGAGGGGACTGCTTCTGATGAGTGACATTTAAAGTCAGTCAAGGTAGAAGATGGACAGATGTTGGGACATTATTCTAATTTCTGGCCTGTGCACAATAAGGAACATAATTACTTGGTCCAGTAGATACTTCTGATCCTTCATATAATGAATGTAGGACAAGGAAGGGAAGGAAGAGGAACCACTTTGAGCAAGGAACAACACAAAAGTCATTTTCACAAGTTCATTTCAGTCATTGTCTTTCTACAGGACCAAATGATTGTTATGAAGAGGACTCCTCTACTTATAGAGGTAGAGTGAACCAAGCAGAAAATGGCAGGACCTGCCTGCACTGGAATTCCCACCATCTCTTGGACCATCCTTTTAATGCCTTTATGGAGGATGCTGACACACATGGCATTGGTGAACACAACTTCTGCAGGTAATATTTTGAAGAAGCAGCTCTAGAGGTCTGTATCAAAGAGATCCTTGAGGACAAACTGCTCATGAATTTGAGAAACTAATGGTGTTAAAATCTTGCATCTTTTTAGAAACTACCTGCCCATAAAATACCAGAATGTTAGAGATACCTTCTCTAATCATGCTGATATGAGGCTTATATGAGGCTTCCAGAGGCTGCCCTCTTTGTTTTGAACCAGTCCCACATTTTTCTTATGGCTAAGATAGGGAGTAGACATGGCAATAGTAATATGGCAGTACTGTATGTCTTGCTCAGACATCTTCTTTGTCAATCTTATGAAATATTATCTTTTGTTGATCTCCCATATGGGAACATGAAGCTTCTCCCTTAGAATCCTCAGCTCCTTCACTAGTTTCATGGAGATTTCCCCATTCCTGCTGGCTGATTCTCTCAACTGTTCCCTTCAGGAATCCTGATGAGGATGAAAAACCCTGGTGCTACATCAGGAAAAATAATGAAGTGGATTGGGAATACTGTGATGTTTCACTCTGTGCAGGTAAAGAATTAGAATCAAGTGATTTGGTAGCACATAGGTGGTCTAGAGCAGTAGGGGACTCCCTGCTGCTTAACTCTTCCAGTCTGATATTAACTCTGCATTATACATCTGCTGTCTCTTCCAATGCAGCTGAAGAGACCCCAACAGAACCCCCTACAGACCCCCCTGAAGTATTCCAAACATGTGGACAACCAGAAGTTCGTAGGACCCTCAAGAAGATCTATGGTGGATCCAAGGCTACACCTGGAAAACATCCCTGGATGGCATCTCTGCAGATACAGACTCCAGATGGGAATAAACATTTCTGTGGTGGAGTGCTAATTAAATCATGCTGGGTTCTTACTGCTGCACACTGCCTTGAGTAAGTGCATGTCCTATCATTAGGGTAGACAAATGTATAAAAATCAGGATGGCTAGTAAAGGCAGCTTGGTATCAAAATTATTTGCAATCAAATTAATTGCTGGGAGTCAAATTGAAAGAAAAACATATATGTGGACAGAAAAAAAAATAATACATGCATAAAAATGTTTATATACTTGAAAATGGTGCTTGCTGAAATAACAAATTTAGCCACCACTTAAATAAAATGAGCTGAAAAAAGTTGTGTGACAGGAAAAAAGGAGGAAAGTAGGAAGATTTTGCAATGTGTAAAAGAAGAACTCTATGCAAACCTCAGGAGATATTTGGATGCTATAAGCAACATCACCTATTACATCAGAATTAAGTTCTTCAAAACAGTCAAAATATGTGTGTGGCTTTAATTTTTTTCTGTGTCAGCTAGCTTAGAATACTACATTTCCTCCAACATTTGTATTGAATCAGTTGGAAACCACCACCCTAGGAAACAATTTCAACAAATTTGTTTGAATTGAAATTATTTGGAAATAATTTCAACAAATATAATTTTAAATATACTCAGACTGGCAAGCAACTCTACTGCCATGGCTACACGAGCTGCCCCTTGTCATCACTGCCACAGTAATAGACTGCGTGCATACTGCTACTCTGCCCTAAAAGGCAAAGAAAATCAGCTTAATTACAGCTGATTGCAGGTTAAAATCACTTTATTTCATGACTGCAACAAATTAAGAGAACACGCATTTTCCAATATCACTATTTTCCTATCTAAGCCTTCCTATAATGATTTTAGGAAATCTTCTGGCCAAGCTTTACAACAGAAAGAAATATCTTGAGTTCCTGTTACTGAAAGTGCACCTCCACTGATAAAAAATGTCTGTACATAAATGACTTTTTTTTTCTCCAGAAACCTAGAAACAAAGATCCAAGTAGCCCTTGGTAAACAAAACCTCAAGAAGAAAGAGGATCATGAGCAAATATTTGATGCAGTGGAAGTAATTGTACATGGCAAATACAGAGAGGAGACGGGTCATGCCCTATACAATGATATTGGTAAATCCTTTATTTGATACTCACACGGCTCACCTCCAACCTTTGTTGTTTGAAGTGTCTCTCTCCCACCAAAGTGAATGTAAAATTCTCATTGATGCTATGCTCTGCAAATAATCAGGCCAAATTTTGACTTAGACCCTTTTGAATCTTGGGATGTAAATTGTGATGGGCAGGCAGAAGTCACTGCTCAGGAGGAGCCAAACAATGGGAGCAGGTCCAGCATAGGGGGGCAAATGTGATCTTGGGTTTATGCAGCTTGGCATGGTAACAACTGCTAACAATAGTTAGGTATCAAAATTAGCTCCAAATATTTTTGTTATTGTTTATCTCCTCTCCAGCTCTGCTTAAACTGCAGCCTGTTGATGGTTACTGTGCAGTGGAAACAAAGTATGTGAAAATAGCATGTCTCCCAGACTTCTTCCTTCCTGCTGGGACTTCCTGCTTCATTGCTGGATGGGGTGACACAGAGACAGGTACTTGTGGGCTAACTGGATTTTGGTGGGTACTCCAGTGGCAAGGTGGGCTGCTACTTCCAGTAGCAATGTCCAGACACAAATGAGGATCTAGACACTAGTGAAACCAAGACATGGAATTAAAAAATAAATTCAGCTAAACCATGCCACGCAAATTACTCATTAGCAGAAATCTCTAACTGCTAAATCAACCAAACCTGTTAGAGTTCTGATAAGAGGCCAGATGCATTTTTTAGCCTGCCATCCAACTCTCGATGTCATGGTTTTATCTGAAGCCAGGTACAGAAGCAAGGAAGTATCAAGAGAGGCTATCATATAGCTTGTGTGTTTCAAGACAGCACCAAGAAAGACAGGAATTTTCACATGGTTTTCCAGCCCACTGGGTCAGATAAAGCTTTTTGGAAGCAGCATCTGGACCCTCGGATGTACTGAAAAATAAAAAAAAAATCCAAGCTTTTCAAGTTCAACCAGCTCTATCCAAAAACCTTTCTTGCCCATGGTAAATTCTAAGGGGAGAAATTTTTATGCTTAAAAAATTATAATGGCAATTTTCTGGAAGATGCATTTTCTCATGTTCTGATTGATGTGTTGCTGTGAAGCAGCAGAAGGAAAACCTGTCACTGAGGCTGCAGTAGGTGTTCTAGTGCTTAGTGACTGAAACAGCCTAATACAATCCATGGGACTGAACTCTCCCTTCACATAACCCCCATTGAAGTGCACAAGAGACAAGTGTGTTCATCTGATCAGAATGCACCAACAGAATTTAATGGACTTTTTTTAAAGCTCCAAATAAAGTCTCTCTTAAAAGGGTAAGGGGGATTTTATGGCTTTTCCCCCCAACAAAGAATATCAAGTACCCTGTACGTGTTCAAACTAAATGGCTCCTTCTATGAGCAGAGCTATTATTAGCATTTCAGGAAATCACTGCAGAAATGGAATATTTCCTGAAACTCAAGCAGAACCAAACTTATAAAGCACCTTTAATTATCTACAGATGTAGTACTTTGAAACTAAGGCTATTGCCTTTAGATGTCAAGTTATGTCTTTAGATTCACTGTAATTAATCATTGCCCTTAAATATTGTATGATTTTCAGTTTTCATCTGTTTCATTAGCTTGCATGTTAAAGCATCTAATAGAACCAGTCTGAGAAGCGCTGAGCAGCTCAAAGTCCCACGGGGACCTCTGGGAGCTGCAGACAACCAGCACCTTGGAAAAGCAGGATTACACAGAGAGAGCTGATTGGAACCAAATTCTGAATACCTGACTTAACTTTAATTTAGACAACAACTCTGTCCTGAGTGAAACTTCAGGCTCCAGCTCATTGGAAACACATTATTACAGCCAGATAGCTCTTTCCTTCCCAGGCTAGAACATGCATCATCCCCCCTTCTCTTCTCCCATCCTGTTTCTTTGCCCAGCAAGCTTGTATTTTGAATAAAAGACAAATTTTGAATATGACAGGAATGAGAAGAAAGTGACTCCATTTTTTTGGTGCACATCCCATAGGTGACCCATCCAATCAGCTGTTAGATGCCAATGTCAGGTTGATTTCACAGAGGAAATGCAATGAACCCAACTTACATCAAGACAAACTGGATGACAGCATGTTTTGTGCAGGACGTCTTCGGAAACCCGGAATCGATTCTTGTCAGGTGTGTGGCTTTTTCTGTATTTAAACACTAATTTTTTTGTGTAAAGAGTCAGGCTGCGCAGAACTTTGGGAATGTGCTGCATATGTACCTGTTCTCACATCAGTGTATTTCAACAGCCTTTCTGCAATACACTTTGAGCTGTACATCCTTACAGCTAATATTGCCAGTGTCACCTACAGGCAGATCTATGGAATCAAGAAACTTCTGAGGCAGTTTGTCATAATAACATGAAAACTTGCTCTTTTTGTTTTTCCTCAGTTTTGTTATGGCCTCTACCTTGACTGCCAATTCTAATCTGATTTTCACTATCAGAGCTAAGATTGCAAGGAGTCAGTATTGATGTTCCTTTTTATTACAGCTAACACAAATGTGAAACAAGTTCATACTTATACCATTGAAAGGTAGGAAACAGTTTGGACAACACTTCCTAAGGTGAAAATTACCACTGTAAAGCATATTTTGCAATAGAAATCAGAAACAAAACAAAAAAAAAATGCCAGTAAGCAACTCAGGCTATTTTGAGGAGTGTGAGACAGCTTGAGTTTTCATTAATGCCAGGGATCCCATCTTTATCTTTCTGAGTTCAGGCTCTGAATTCCTGGTACTTTCACGCCTGGGAAATTTCATGTGACCTTGTCAGATTTATGTCACAGACTGGAAAAAAATTAAAACTTACAGCCAAAAAGTCTGGTATCATTTGACCTTGTCACAGAACTGCAAGTCCACTTAGGGGCTAAGCAGCATCTGATGGTACATCTGTCAGAAAAAAACCATCATTACAGCTTCAAAGTCTTGTGATGAGAGAAGCATTCTGATTTTGGTTACTATTTTGCTTCATGCTTTGAACATGTGTGCTTTCCTTCCTCAGGGAGACTCTGGAGGTCCACTGACTTGTGTAGCAAATGGCTCCTACTACGTATATGGCCTTGTGAGCTGGGGAGAGGGATGTGGGTTAAAAAACAAGCCAGGAGTTTATACCCAGGTGACAAAATTCGCCAGTTGGATTAACGCTGTAATTCAGTATTCATCAAGGTCACGTCAGTAGGAGAGATCTTTGGAATGACAAATGGTAAGTAAGATTGAGAGTTTTACTGGTTTTATTCATTCCCTAAATGCCTCATCTTTGACAAAAAATATGGCTGATATTTTCCCATGGCCTACATGGGGCATCCTACATCACCATCTTGAAAATAGCCTTAAGAGTGTTAGCTAGAATGTCAGTGACAGTTGTGGGCTTTGAAATAAGCCCGCATTTTTTGACTGAACAGATCAGAAAGTAAAGCTACTCCAGTTCTTCCCCAAACAATGAAAGGCCCTGATATTTTCTAGATCTGCTTTTCAAGCTGTGAAAATTCTCCCAGCTCAGCTGCTGCCAGACATTTCCTCTTCCCCTCGTGCTCCTGTCTAAGGTGTGTTTTTTCTGCACTCATTGGACCCTGACACCTCAAAGCTATCGGTGTGTGCTCTTAAAGCCAGTACCATTTTTCACACACATAAGAATCACCATGGGGCTGAATTTGCAAGATTGCAGCCATTGGAATTTCCTGAGGAGAGAGGATCAGTCAGGACAATTATTTTTAAAAGCATTTTGTGGGTAAATAACAACAAATTTTATTAGTGATGCATTTCATATTGATAAACCAAACAAACTTTCAGTACTAGAACTACCCACTTTATTCCTGACTAGAGAATAATGACATGCTATGCTCCAGATCTACAATGGTTTTTATATCCTTAACCAGTGAGAGCTAGTAGTACTAAATGCTACTAAAAAATCTGTCTAAAGTCATTGGATAATTTGAGAGTTCTCATAAGGTGTACATGTCAGATTTTGTAACTTTTGCCCAATGATTCTGCACAGAAATTTGAAAAACAGGGATTGGTATTAAATGAGGATATAAAGAACAGACTTGTTTGTGAAGAGTCAATTTCTTAAAATAGTGATGTCAGTCTCACTTGAATTCCAGGGTTTACAACCTTCTCTAAGCAGCTACCTAATCTGTCAATAGCTGCAAAGAGTAATTCTGAATTTGTACTGCTGCAAAGAGTAATTCTGATTTTTTACTTTGGAAGATGTGAAAAAAAACTGAAGAACTGATTGTGACCTGAATACAGCCTGATAGTCTAGAACAGATTCCCTGAGCCTGCTAGAAGACCTGCCTTTGGCAAAGTCAGTGATAACTTTCCTCCCACTGGCCTTTGACTCATTCATCTCTTAAACCATCTGAATTGTGCTTTTGTACTCCCTTAGGTCAATGGTGCCAATATTCCAGGAACATAAAAATCTCCAAAAATTACAAACATGGAATAAGAGTCACCTGATTTATTAGTTATAAATTATTTAGTATTCTACCATCCATGATACAAAGCTGAGCCTGCCAGTCATCTAGTACTAATTTCATTTACAGCTTTAAATAAATAGCAGAATCTGTAATACATTCAGTGAGAAATCACAAAGTATCCACACAAAAATAAAAAGATCAGTTATAAATTGCAATGTTTTGGTTACCTCTTAAAACAAAAATTCTTAAATGCCTTCTGTTGTGTTTCACATAAACCTGAAAAAGCTACAGGATTTGCAGGACAAGATGAAAATCTATTTATGTTATGTCATGTTTGTTTACTTCTGATAAAGCTGCATTTGCCTTCTCTTGACTTGCAGAATTTCTGAAGCATCAGGATTGACTCCAGCTTGCTGAGATCCTTCTGTCCCCAACTGGTCCTGTAAAATCACAATCCAAAAAATTGTGAAACCAGCCAGTGGAAAGGGGAGGGCTTAAACTATTATTCTATGACAGTATTTTCATATTAAAAATTACACAACTGGCAAAAAAATGAGGAAAATCTAAATCACTGTTCTGCAGAGAGCGAATTTCTGCTGTGGAGAAGTGCAAAAAATGGACCTGTTCATGTAAGTTAGATACCTCACATACCAAAGGACAAAATGTGCTCAAGTCCTGGTTTCTGTTTTGAAATAAGAAGCAAACCAGCAAACACCTGAGTTCCACATGGACTGCACACCTGTAGGTTTCCCTGGGACCATCAGGTCATTACCATACCTTTGACTTATGAAGATACTGCTACTACTCTCAGTAACAGTAGCTCCCACTGCCTCCATTACTCAACCATAGTTTTCACTTATTTCCTGAGTTACTTTTCAGATGGGAATGTAAATCATGGGTATGTACTGTTTCTCTTGGTCTGGATTTCTTACCAAAGTTAATAATTAAACGATCAAAATATTTGAAGTGCAGTGCTTCTCTTTTCTTGTAGCTGAATAGTTCCTAATTGTAAGGGCTATGAGATTCCTGTATGGATTTCTGCTCTCTTGTACTGGGACACTGCAGACTGGGAGTCATCCCTGTGACAGAAGGAAAGCCTGGAAGATTCCTGCTTGTAATATCTTTAACCTTGGGCTGGACAGAGGCAGAGGAGGCTGGAGCATTGCCTCTTTGCACAAAGCCTCCCACAGCACATATTATCTGTCAGGAGCCTACACTCAGCCTGTCAATACGGCTGCCAGTGGAGATTACATGGCAACACTGAATTACATGGCAACATGTGGTTCCTGATGAAATTAGGAAAAGAGAATGGGAGTCACATGGGGAGTCTCTTCTACCTCTGCTTCTGCTTTTCTCAGTGGTACTAGGACACTTGGAGATCTTACATCATCCACAAGTTGGGGAAAACACATCCTGACACGACACTGCTGAACTCCCTTCAATGGTTCCTTCAAATTAAAGTGTACACTAAAGCACAAAGCTTCATGAAAGAAGTGCACATATCCTGTTCAGGTAATAGGGAGAGCTGTAGACTCCAGGGAGCATTCAAAAGTGTTAGATAGGATGTGTGCAGGTAAGGAGCAGAGCTGTGGGGATTTGTGACAAGATGGTTTGCTCTACTTACAGCTCCAGGTCTGTACTGAGTAGAAGGCTGCAGCAATCCCATTTCCCGAAGGTATGCCAGCTCAGCAGCTCTTCTTGCCATTTCAACTTTGTGGGAGCCTGGGGGAGTCCAGCCAATGCCTCTGAGCCAGTTCAAGTCAGACTTGTATTTTATCTGAGAGAATGAAACATGCACCAGGATGTATTATTTTGTAGAGCTCTAACCAAATCACATGCCCTGGGTATTCAAGACAGAGCATATAAAGGAGCAGCAGGGTCAATAATAAACAAATTATTCATTTTTAGCAAGCAGACTGTGGTTCTTTCGAGGTGATCTTGTTGGCAGGTAAGGTTTGCAAAGGAGATTGCACAGAGAGCCCCCAGCCCAGGGAAGGACCATGTCACTCAGCCACACTTACATCACTCTGCAGCTTGTAGGCCTGCTTTGCGTGTTTCACATTTAGCTGCTCAGGGTCACAAGTGTATTGGTGCAAGGGCTGCCTGTAATTAACATTGCTTGCAAGCTGCTGGCTTCTCTTGGCATGGAGGAATCCTGGCTGGTTGAGGTGACTCTGGAACTGTGCCATGTTTAGGGCACAATCACTCCTGTACTGGAGGTCGCTCTGGAGTTTCCCTACTCTGAGGACATGTCTGATTTTGGGATCATCATTTGCACTGAGGAATCCAATCTGCTGGCCTCTGTCTCTCAGGAAGGCTTCTCTGTATTTGTACTGCAGGAAGTACAGAGGAAAATCACATTTTCACATTCAAATTACCTTCAAATTCTATTATGAAATAACTTATCCTCCTCTGCCTATCAATCATGTTTCCTGTAGTGCACAAAGACTGAGGGTTTGTTTGATATCAAACCACATCTCCTAATCTAACAAGACACTTTAGAAGAATTACTTTTGTGCTCATTTTTAAAGGAGTGGAAAGACTTAGGGGGCCCAAAATGCTCATCTCTCAAAAGTAATCAGAGATCCTCCTACTGTTGCACTCTTGGGTACACACAATACAGAGCTCAACCAATGAAGCTCCTCCATCTTTAGCTTTCTTGCCAGCTGTGGTCTTCTGTGTTCAAAGATAACCCACTTTATCCTAGACCATGCTTTAACTCTTCACAGCCTAGTATCTATATTATTTGATTAAATCATAATATGTCTTCTTCCCAAGAAAAGCTCTTGGCACATAAGAACAGCCTGGTATTGGACATTATTAATGGTAGACTTTAGTTGGAAATCTTTGCACTTAACCAGCACTTTGTTTCATTGGATCACCAATTTTCCATACCAGAATAATGTTCATTCATGTCAGACTTCACCCATTTTTGCAGGATGGGGTGGCTTGGGAAGAGGGTTGGGAAGTGTTTGAAACAGAACAATTCTTACATCACTAGCAATCTCTCTTGAAGCCTTTGCTGTCTGGAATGGGATGGCGTCAATCCTAAAATCATAGCCAGATGCCCTTGTCTGTTCCCAAGATGTTTTATACAATTTCTGTGTTGAAAAGAAAAGAACAAAAAAGTCATTTCCCCCTGCAGTTTCTTAAATGCAGTCCCATAACTGCAATAATAAATGTTTTATCCTACTGGGCTTATTTGTATCAAGAGTCATCAGTACTATCTCCAAGGTTTTGATCCAGTTCTATAGCACTTCAACTTCTTTTCTATTCACCATAATGATAAAATGCCTCATCTGAAAAGTGCCACCAGGGTTTCCTTTTGTACTTGAATGTGGTTGTTTTTGATGTGATTTAATTTCTATTAGAAACTGTGATGCATCAGTCACATCAATATTGCATTGATATTGCCCTTATTCTCTCTTTTGATGCATCCACTCACAGTGTCTTGGGTTTCCTGGCATCCTAATTTCAATACCAGTTATTTCAAGCTTTTCAAATGATCCTCCTCTCTATCCCCAGCCACATGTGGCTTCATTAACTCATGTGGAATAACAGCCGGTTCTAATGTGACTTTGAGGCTGTGAATCACATTTACATCCTGAAGAGAAGTTGCTCTAGATTTGGTTCTTCTTCCATTAGTAGCTTTCTTAAAATAGCTTCCAGTCTGCAGGTCCTACTACCCAGCCATGGTATCTTAGCTGATACTTTCAGCTGTCCCCTTCTGATTTTATTCATTTGCTTTCTGTAAGTCTTTGATTCATCCCTCCTGGGGTTTGTGACCATAGGAAAAGGAGCACAAAATCCACTCCACATTTTAAGACAATCTTCTGTTTCACTGGTGGCTGTACTGCTAGGTGGTAATAAATTTAAAAGTAAATTTAGATGCCAGAAATCCTGCAAGACAGCCAGGGCAGAAGCAATATAAGCATCACTGCACACCCTGCTAACAGGGATGACCTTTCATTTGTGTGCAACCCTTGCACATATTATTTGACTTTTTACATTTTCCTCTATTGCTTCAAAATGTAATTTCTACTTGTTTCTTTCACCTATCTCAAAGCTCCTAACAAACTAAAGTCATTCTGACCCTACAGGTAAAGACAACAGCTAGTCAGGGAACAGGACATTAGGAATAGACTGAGTTCCTCTGTATGAGACAATGTGGAAACAAATTCTCTTTAAACTAATTCCCCTCACTGATTCAGTTACATCCAGATTGATGACAACTCCACCTAAAGGATCATTTCAACACAGTGTTGCAGCTTCAGAAAGGTAGAATACATAGTCTAGGAAAGAGGATTCTCCCTCCTCCCTCACCCAAAAAAAACCAGAAAAGATTTGAATTTGTAACTAATCATATCTATAATGAAGGTTTGAAATCCTTAATAATACCTTACTGCCCTAGAAAATTAAATGAATGCTCAAAAGAAAAATTAGCAGACTTTACCCAACTCCCCCAGCCCAAACCTAGCAACATGTTGGCTGTTCGCTGCCTCTGGCTTATTTTAGTTCTGGTCAGGCTCAGAGAACTTGGCTTCTACATACATGAAGGTTTTTATTTCCAGACAAGTTTACCAAGCCAGCTCCCCAGAGGAGAAGGTTTACTTACATCACTGATGTACAGTGCATTCTGGCGGGCTCGGATGAAATCCGGATGATCGGGAGGCAGGGTGTACCTGTGCCTGTCTTCAGAACCTCCAGCCTTGTACAGCCTCTGTGGGGCCAAAAGTCATTGAATGCAGGTCATACTGGAAGCAATGTCAAGAGCAATTCTTTCATCCATTATGATACAGCAAAATTAAGGTCACTTATACATTAGAATGAAACCTACGTCATTGCACTGAAGGTAGCTGTTTTTGGCATGAATCAAACTTGGAGAGTCAGTCACAGCAGTGAACTTCAGATTTTCTGGCTTCTGACGGTACTTTATCTGAGAGGGGCAAGAGGCAACAAAAACAAACAAAGGAAAAAAAACAGGAGATGTTTCTGTTAATGATATATGACAATTCCAGGAGTGTGTTAACTGGGGTAAAACATAAAAGACACTTTCCTGAGGCTGCTGTTCTGCTTTAGTCTCAGTTGCTCTTTCAGCTAGGGACTGGGGATGCCTTTGTATCAGGCACAGGACTTTTTTGTGAGTGTGTCTATGTGAGTGTGTGCACAAAAGACTTCCCACTAAAATTAACATGCAAAAAGCTTTTGAACACTACACTTTTGACAGCTCATAATTTTTCTCCATTAATGCATGATACTGAGCAGGCAAATGCCCCTTCATTGTGGTTGTCAGTGCTGTATCTTTCTACACAACTTCCATAACAACCTGCTTAGAATTTCATAATGGGGTTTCCTGCATTTATTTATTCCTACATGTTTTGCCTACACTCTTGTGTTTCATTTGGAATGGAAAATATTCAGCAGGTGTC